TGTGTGTGTGTGTGTGTGTGTGTGTGTGTGTGTGTGTGTGTGTGTGTTTGATAAATGTGTGTTTTTGTCCATAAAAGCATCTTATCAGTTTCAGCCGTTGAATCCCCCACCCCCACCCCTTGTGGATAAATCTCAGCAGGATCACTGATGCATATTAAAAGGAAAAGAAAATATAGGTGCTATTGACATTTTGTGTTGTTACTGTGCAGGATTTTGATTATATCTCTTATCCATTGTTATAAGGAGAGATTTTAATATGCTCTCCAGGTGCAGCTATCCTTCAAACTCATAACAAAAGATTAAAAAAAAAGTCTAGAGATGTCTACGCTTTTAATATTCTCTGTGTTTAAAACCTCATTTAAATATGTCCTGCACCTCATCTCAAATGTTCACCTTCTGATTTCCTCCCCAGTGATGGCAACATGGGTCAGTCTCAGGACGACAGCATCGTGGGTACCAAGCAGTGTCGTCACAGCGTGGCCATCATGCCCATTCCTGGGAACCTGTCCTCAAGCAGCCCCGACCTGCTGCAGCCGGCGTCAAGTGTCCTCGACTTTTCTAACCCTGCTGGTAAGAAATGGATCTTAAAGCAGTCTAATGAATATGTTATGTTACATCTGTTGATATAAATGTTAAATAATTTTACAGCTAATGTGTCAGTACTTTCGGAGTTTTTTCCCCTCTCAGTAAAATATGGTATATTGACACATTTGATAAATTGTTTTTTTTAATCATTTTTATTTTAATTTAACAATTTGTTTGATCAAATGGATTTGATGGATTAAATTAATGTTGATGCTCACTTTCAAGTATGCCATTGTTCTAACTGTTGGGGGAAAAAATCAAAAGAGGAACAAATTGGTGCATTGGAGGGATTGGATTTTTTCTGTCATTCATTTTCACCCCTTCAGGGTGGGAGTTGGACTCTGCCAGGGCTGCCCGTTGTCACAGATTCTGTTCATAACTTTTATGGACAGAATTTCTCGGTGCAGTCAGGGGACGGAGGGAGTCCGGTTCAGTGTTCTCAGGCTCGGGTCCTGTCGGCATCATTGTGTCGTGATCTCCAGCTCTTACTGGAGCAGTTCGCATCTGAGTGTGAAGCAGCTGGGATGAGAATCGGCTCCTCAAAGTCCGAGATCATGGTCCTCAGTCGGAAAAGTGTGGACTGCTCTCTTCAGGTCGAGGGTGAGGTTCTGCCTCAAGTGGAGGAGTTCAAGTAACTCAGGGTTTTATTCACGAGATAGGGTGAGAAGTTCAGTTATCCACGAGCTACTCCCGAGTAGAGCCGCTGCTCCTCCGCATCAAAAGGATCCAGTCGAGGTGGTCCAGGCATCTGGTAAGGATGCTCTCTGGGCGCCCCCCCCTAGGGAGGTGCTTCGGCCATGTCTGACTGGGAGGAGACCCCGGAGAAGAATCAGGACACGCTGGAGAGACTATGGGTGCATTCACACCAACCCTGTTTAGTCTGCTTTAATCGAACTCTAGCTCGTTTTCCTAGAAAGTCCGCTTCGTTTAGGGAGGTGTGAACGCGCCATCGAACTCTGTCATGGAACAAAAAGGCAAACTCTGGCCCGGGCTAAAACCTAGGTCTCAGTCCGGTAGAAGCGAACTCCAGCGCGGTTCGAGTGTAGTGTGAATGCAAACAGACCGGTCCCCGATCCGCAGGACAAACAAACACGCATTCCTCTTACCTCATATGGAGCCGTCAGCTGCCTTGTGTGGAAAAACAATATTCTCCATGGTCTTCTGTCTCATCTTCTTCTCATGCAAAAAAATGTTATAGCAGATTAAAAAATATCAAATAGGCTAAAACTATTTAAAATTTTTCAAATATGTTTGTAATTTCAACCAGATTGTTACTGAAAATAAACGAGCAGACATTATGATGGGATTTTGAAAAATAAATAAATCTTTGCTGTAACAGGAAGAAAATTCCTTTTTAACTCAACAGTCTTCAGCCTCTCAGTCGGTGTTTGTTTTGGGCTCTTTTGCTCTCCTTACTGCGAATCTGCTCGTCAGGAACAGAGTTCAGATGATTTCTGAGACGCGGAAAAGAAAACGGACTCTGTCCAGATTCGCACATTCAACTTGCTGAGATGCTATTTCTGCTTTGTAGCTCCGGCCTTCAGTCTCAAAGTTGCTCATTTGTAAATATTAGAAGTAATGGAACTGAATGGATCAGTTTCTTAAAAAGCTCTTCGTATTCAATTTGTGTTAGGTTTTACTGCCGTTCTCTGTGCTATGAGCCTTTGTGACTCTGATGAAATTGAACTTCAAGCGCAGGATTGAGTCGACGAGAAGCAAAACTTTCATTACACCGGCTGTTTGTGAACTCTGACCATCACAGAGCTGTTCAGGTGTCTCGGTCGCAGCTGAGGGCTCCTTTTCTGAAGGTGTTCGTCACACTCGACCCAGCACCTCCGCCTGGCTGAACGGGGAAACCGTTTACGAATCGAAGTACTAGAATCCTCAGCAAGTACTCACCGATGCTGCGCAAATGGGCTGTCATCCTTGAGCGTTACGTCAAAATGCAGCGCTGAAAAGTCCCTATTGCACACATTCTTTCTCAGTTATATACAACCATATTGTTTAAAAAGATCCACTTTTCTTGTCAAAGGAGCTTATTCACTCAAACAAAGCAAGCCTACGAAGGCAGTTGGCCTTGCTCAGCACACAGACAAAACCACACACACATTCATATTTATTGTGGTCTTTCTGTTTGAAGGATCCCAGATCTATTGCTAAATTGCCTCTGTTTGACAAGACTTAACCTCTTAGGCCAGTTGAGGATGTTTTAATCTCCTCTTGTCAGAGAGGTTTCTGAGCCCTAATTATTTAAACTAACAAGGACAAGTCTGTTGTTTATGTCTGCATAGACTGACGGAAAAGGAGAGCGAGAGAGAAGTGAGAAAGTGAATATGGTTCTGATTTATTCCACAAGCCATCTGCAAGACAAATGCAAACACACACTCCTGCTGTCTGTAGATATAAATAGTATGTAAACCTATATATCACACGTGGTGGTGAGATATCACACAACGCACAAACCCTGTTTTAACTTGGTCCTTTTTGTTGCCTTACCTCCTTTTAGGTTTAAAAGTAAAGCAAAGAGCAGCGCTCTGAAACAAAACCCCTTTTCCCCAGATGTTCTGCAGAGCTTCTATTATTTCCCCAACAGTTCCCTGCCTGTAATTACATTAAGGTACAAATCTGAGGCACAGACGAACCTTTTATCCAAACAATGCCCAATAAGCAGACAGACTGTGTGCATCTTTATCTTCTGGGTGCCTATTCTTTGCCTGTTTAATAATCATCAGAGTTGGGCTTTTTTTAGGACCACCTCTGGGTTTACTGTAATTATTCATCTGTGGAAAATCCCAGTTTTCATTTTACTACACATGGTGAGAATATATATATATATATATATATATATTTTTTTTATAGAGCAGCAGGTTTGTCCTTTTTTTTTTTATCCTTTTACAATGGCCAAAAAGGGGGAAAAATTAATTTAAAAAAAGGCTCTGCAGAATCAAATTAATTTCTGGACTATGAGCCGCTTATTTTATTTTATTTTTTAACGGGCTAACGAGTTTCATGTTGCCAAAACATTTAGCCTCTTCAAACCTGGGCGCTCACATAGCTGCCCAGTACACGTTCCTCTTGGGAAGTGGATCCGCGTGACTCGAGACTACCTGTATAAATAAAAGTTTTTTTTAAAAAGTTATAATAATCTGGCCAATGAAATTATCAAACAGGTCACAGTGGACCAATGAAACGGGGAGGAGAGAATGGGGGGGGGGGGGGGGGG